CATTCCATTAAATGAATCGCACGGATAATTAATGTAGTTATGGTTTCCCATGATATTCAATCCGCGGAAACCATAAAGCCGCGGCCGTATAATGTTGTCCAAGGATATTAAGTGCGTTTGCGTCAGAATATTACAGCTCGGTACATATAGCGGAATCGGTTTAAACAATCTTTTTATTACTTTACATATCATATATTTATATATTTAAGTCTCGAGATTAATAATCACATTTTCACCTATCATTTTTATAATTTATGTGTCGCATGAATTTGTGGATTTTTCGAAAAATATAAAAAGAACATTCACGAAATAAAAAAGGCAAAAACTTTAATATTCTGTAATCTTTAACATATATAATCTCTTATTTAAATACAAATATAGTTATCCACACTTTAAAAGATTCTCTCAAAAATTAATTGATTAATCACTGAGAAGAGCTCAAAAGTTCTTCTTTGTAAATAGAGATTTAGATGGACTCTTTGAGAGGGTTAAATTCTCAAGTCTAAAATCACATGCCAGATTAAATGTGAAACGTATCAAGCATCGTTTCTATGCCACCATTATCCGGCCATTCTCTCGCATCGAGAGATATATCTCGTAAGGCAAAGTTCTGCTGGAACATCAAAAATTCGTGTGTTCCCCCGGGATGGGAGCTAAATCATTTAAATTTCTGCGCAAACGACCGCGCGCGCATGCGGGTAAAACTCGGGCTCTCCCGGCGGAGGAAAGTTTAAAAAATGACTGGGAGCAAAAGAGAAAAGAAAAAAAAAGCGAGGAAAAGGGTATTATCCGACTCGCGAATCGTCGAAAAGTTTCGCGTCGAGGGTGATCTCGCCCGAAACTATCCTTAAACTATCGTCAAACTATCGTTGCTACTGACCTTGTTTTCGAGCCGCGTCGAGTGTACGACGTGCCGAAAATCTTGTGCGGAAGTTCGCCCCTTCTCGCAAGTGTGTGCATTCACACAACGAAATTTCCATTTTAATAGTTCTGTTTGCTTTAGCTACTGTACTATGTTGGAGCACGACTTTGTTCCGGTTTGCTTCATTGAGTGGAGCCGTGGAATCCATAATTTTCAAAAAATGAACCAAAAGTATCTTCAAGAAAAGATATATGTTACATTTTAATAAAGTCTCCCTTGTTATATCTTTATTTTATATAATTACATCAGCATACGTATCTTATTTTAGTGTCCTACGTGTTTCTCTTTAGATTATCATAGATCAGTGTTTGACAAATTGATGTCTAAAATTCGCATCGATTAATTGTAAGTCAAAAGATAGCATACCGATTATATTTTAAAAGAGGATTTACATTTTTATTTCACAATACTGCAAGCTCGTTTTTACTGATAGGGATTACCACCGATCGATGATAGCGTGTGCCGCGAAAATTAACAAAAAATTGATAGCGTGTGTCGACAACGCTTTTTTGCATCTTCTCTCATTCGGCTTTGATTTTATGCATTTAAACGTATGTACAGTGTAAAAGTTTAATAGACTCATTTATCTTGAAAATATATGTGAAAATTTTTTTATGAATTTCAATGCAAAGATAATTTAATGCATGGATTTTAGCAGGACTTTAAAAACTCGACTTATGCTAATTTTAAAATAAACGACGTACATAATTCAAACCGGATCAATAACTAATTAAAAGTAATTTAGTATAATATTTGCATACATTTAGTTGCAGCGTTTTCAAAAGAAACGACTCAGCTCGATCGTGTTTAAATGTAAAATTTTCGTTGTAGGAATATCCTTTACAATTTCTTTTATTATTCGTGAAAAGATTGATTTTACATATATCTGTATATGTGTGTGTGTATATATAATATATGTATATATATATATATATATATATATATATATATATTTTATATCATATGTGATATTAAGGGGAGGGAGCGAATCGAGGAATGTCATTTGTAGAATATTGGAGTACAATCTGGTGGATTGCATTCTTTGAAACATTCAATCCTCAATGTTGGAGAAAGAACTAGAAATAAGCGAGAAAGAATCGAAAACCAGTGGAGATTTCTCAGGAAAAGATAACACACTCAGGTGGCACTCAGAAATAAGTTTTAAACTTATTCGTGTTTCTACCGATATTGCATGTAATATCAAAATGTTGTAGGATTTCGTCGAAAGAAATTCATAAATAATTTTAATTTATTTATTAATTTATTGTATATATATATATATATATATATATATATATTTAATATTAATATTGCATTAATCATATTCTAATAATGTCAAGTTGAGGAATTTGTCTCTCTCATTTATTTAGTTAATTAAGAAAATTATTATTCAAAATAAAGCTCTCTTAAATTTTTAGATTATACTCGATATCTTTGATATAGTTTAATAATTATAAAAAATTCTTGTTTTTTATTCTTCTGTGAAAATAATATTTTGGAAAAACAAACAAACGCATGAAAAGTGCAAATTGACAGGTATTGCTATACTGAAAGAAGCACACAGATATAAATCATGCAAAAATATTTTACTAAGAAATAAAACATAATTCCGCACGTATATAGGAAATATCTGCGCTATCGTGTCGATATGCTATTCAACGTCTTTTCACGCTCTTCCTCACTTTAGCGAGATCTCGTTTCCTACGAAGAATGCCGACAGGCGAATCCATCAGTATATATCGAGAATTCTAGAGAAAATGACGTATTCTCAGATTCAGCGAACGAGCTCCTGTCTCGTTGATATCGGCAGAAGGATGCGGTGAATGCATTGCGTTGGAAATCGATTCTGTCAAGGATGTTAACGACGGGCGAAAAAATCGTGCGCTTAATCATTGTTGATAGAAGCTATCGTAATTATACATCGGTGATTGAATTTTACATTACAAGCGTATTTCTACAGATTAATCCGGTCCTTGAAATGTCTTTAAAATATAGATCGTTTCCTAGCCTCTTTGCGGAACATAAATTAAATCGATAAACGTCATCGGCAAATTTATAGATATAGGAATTCTCTCTTTAAGGACTGCATTTGATTTTAATAATAAATATCAAATATATAAATATAATATGTAATCCATAAGTAGTCGCATTTTTTTAAAAAAGAGTCTACATTTTAATTCAACATTTCAGCTGTATGTAAATTTAATTAAAATTCTCAGCGTCTATGTGCAGTAATAATCGCAGTATAAACAGAGGGGATGTGACTAGAAGTGATCATATGATCAGACAAACGGAATACAAGTAGAAAGAACCAATTTATAGTCAGACGAAATGAAACGGAATATTAAAATACAAGTTCTAAAAAAAGTTATATTCTAACATTTAATATAATTTAATATTATAAAATATTACATGAACAAAACATCTAATAATTATTTTTATTATCTGATATGATCTATTTGATCACGTTTATCTTAATATTATCAGCATTATATGAAACACCATTTAACAAAGTTGAACTGCAGTTTCACTTCTCTTTATTAAACTATGGATCAGACTTCGTCGCAGCTGATACTTTGTTACGGCAAAATGATAAATTCTCGCCTCACTTATACTCAATTTGAAATTAAGAATTTCACTTAATACATTTTCACTTAATACAATTTCATGGTTTCATATAATTATTAATTAATGTAATATAATTGTAAATTTGCATCATATTAACCTCTTGGAACGAGGAAGCTAATATTATTTTGCGGTTTATAAATAAAAAGAGGAAACGTGTAATATTGATAAATAAGATGTTTTCGAAATATTGATGAAAAAGGAATTTTTTAAAAAAGCAATATTTCTTTTTCTTATTCGATCTCTCCGATTGCATCCTGTGTATATAGATCTAGGATATTCCTTTAGCTCTAATCGCTTTCACCTCAAGTTACAAGAATAACGTTGCTTTTCTCGTTCCTTGATATATCGACGTAATCCCTTTCATCGATCCGGCTCGGTTATACGCGCTACCATCAGCGTAACATGTGCGGAAGACTATTCAACGAGCTTACCGCGGCCTCGCTTTCCTTTTACCGACCCTGGGTGAAGATAGCGGCTGACAGCTTGTACGGAGGAGTTACGGGAAAGATGATGTAGCATCGCGTTGGCGGCAACGGCAGCGGCGATGAACTCGCTCCTCGTTTGTACCAGCGTAAGAACGCTGGTCTGGATGCACTACTACCCGGCACGTTTTGCCGGCCAGTCAGCCAGCCAGCCAGCGAGCCAACCAGACCCAGGAAGATGAATTACACTGGGACGTGATGGTGCCGTCTGCTTCACGGTAGCGCCACCGATTGGAATCGCGAAAACTTGTGTACGGATCCCGACACACGTCGACAACGTTCCGGCCCCTTCGGAGCTTTCCTCCTCGCGTTCGTCTTATCGAGGGCTCGCGTGCTCTTCGGGCTTTTCGTGTTCTCGATGCTCCGGAACGAAGGATAGAAGGAGAGAGAAAGAGAGAAGGGGAAGAGGGAAGGGAGGAGAAGGGAATAGCGAGGGGGGGGGGGAAGATTGATTGCATCGAATCCCGCGTACGACGAAAGAACCCGGTGCTGTCGAGTTTCTGAGCGGCATTTTAAGGAATTTCGCTTGCACCGCGAAGGGAGGATTCCTCCGACCTCGAAACGCATGAATAGGGATGAACATTTCGAACCACTTCGGATACGCTCGATGTGAGCGATCGCTTGTTCCATCTTCGACGCGGTTGTACCGAGCGAGAGAATTTTGCGAGAGTAATCGGGGAAAATCGAATCTGCGATAATGTGTCTCTCCGATGCGATTATCATTAAAATTCTTCCGTCTCTTTTATTTTAATTGCGTCGATTTATCATGCATTTTTTCAAGCATATTTTCTTAGCAAACATTACAAAGTGTGTTAGAAGAAATATGTATGTGTCTTATACAGAAGGATATTTTAGTTCCATCCACGGTATTTACGGATTATTTCGATAGATAATTAACATTAATATAACAAGATTGATGATACCAATCATATAAATTTCAACATGGCAAACATAGATGTGGGACGTACCTCAACTTTTACGCCTGGCCGAGGAAATATCTGGGTTCTTTGAGCGCTGTCGGGTAGAAATCGAAAGAATTCGTGATCATCCTTGTACCATTTGACCGAGTAGAGATCGCCACCCGATATTCGCCACTCGCATCTCAGATCGATCGAGGAACCCACTGTAGCCTCTTTTGGCATCTTAAAGTCCACTTGGATATTGCCCGCTGAAACACAGACGTATACATTTTTAGTATCCGCGAAACAGGATTGACGTATTATTAATGAAATTATTGTGATTTCGATTTAATTAAAATCCACGAAAAACAGTGCATATCTCAAACTTGACGAAATTTTTATGCGTATCGAAGATTTATAAACTAAGATGGCAGAGATAAATTTTGAGAAATTTTCCTCTGGAAATTTTATTCTCAAACTTTTCTTCTTCTCAACTAGAACGATTTCATCCATTACATCGACATGGTACTCTCCAATCTGCAGATCGGGAACGATTCCGCACGAGTTTCAAAAGAGCAATCCAGCTTTCGCGAATCGTGTTATCAAGCTCACTCTAATTCTTGATCACGAATAGGATTCCTAATTTCGCGCGGCGCACAATTTCGGTTCCTATTTCGTTAATTTACGGAGGCGGATACGAGAAACGACGTTTGGAGCCCGCAGATGTCTCGCAATTACCGTCCGCGTCTGTCAACCGAGCGCGACCACGAATGGTAAAAGGATGGCGTGTGTTAAGCACGAGAATAAATATCCGCGGTTAGCGGAGAAGGGCTAGATGGGTTCGAGGCAAATGCCACTGAGAGTTTCGTGCCCGAAGTTCCTTCGAAACTCGAAACGAACGCACTTCGCTGTGCATACATAGATAGTAGAACTTGCACGAGTTATTACGATATACATTGTAGAATAACGTTTCTGGGTCGGATTAAAGTTTCTAAGTTTAATAGAAAGTTAAGAAAAGTATATTAAGTCGTGTACGTATTTATAAGTAGTAACGAATTGTAAATAATTAATAATTATGAAAAGAGAAAAAGGATGCGAGCGACGTAATATATATATAATTAATGCACAATATTGTGTTGTAATTTATACAGTGTACAATATAAATTCTTAATTCTTTATTTTTTGGGGGGTGAAGCATCGTTAAATATGTTACTGGCATAATTATTGCGTTTTTTATCTCGTTCGAATGTTATTAATAATGACAAGATAATATATCATAATAATATCGTTAATTTTGTCTAAATTGTTTCTGTTCAGATTTCATAGCGAGTAACATCATAGTAAGCGAGCTTAGCCATCGGAATGCCGGTCGTGCGGGAAGAGAATTTATTCCAAGCTAATAACGGGCGCGTTACGCATTAACTCCGCCGGACGGCTCGTAATACGGCAGGTATCGGGTTAATTTGGGGGGACAAAGCGCGGGGGCGGTTGGGAAAGCGCGGTGTGAGGGATCACGAAGCGTGTTGGGTATAAGTGCGCAGGCCGTTGCCGTTAAAGGTCCATCGAGCGGAATGTGGGGAGAGCTCGATTGCTCCTCGCATCGCCTGGTCAGTGTCCGCAATTTACAGTCGCGCGTGTTAAGATTTAATGACCCGCGAATTTCGGCTTGCGCGTCAAGGTATCCAAAGAGCGAAAACTGGGGCTCTCGCAAATCTCGCGCGGTATCAATATAATGCTCGTGAATTATGATTCCACCGTGAATAGATAGATTCATCGGTCGGGAAATAAATCTCCATTTTTGTATCCCAAACGGAAAAACGTATGAAATATTATAATGCCACTGCAAATAAACGGCACAGTTGAATGATGTAGGATTGATTTATATTATATCGCTTGTCATATGTATATAAAGCATTAAGATACTTAAAAATATTCTCTAAACAATTACTTAATAAATAATAATTTTTGTATAAAGAAGAAGAAGAAGAATTTTTTTCTTAAAGAAGAAGAATAAATTTCTTTTATAGAAGAAGCCATAAATACTTGTAAGGAGAGATCCTCAAGTTTTAATTAAAGAAACTCGTCTCTAATTTGATGGCTAATATATGCATGTATATGTGAATATATACATGTATATATGTATAGATTATATTATGGAATATAGAACATTGCGCGTTGACATTCCACGGAATTGGCCTAACCGTCGGTGTCAGTTGCAGTTGCTTCCAACGTCGCGGTTTGCATTTCGCGATGCATTTTCGAACGCATCTCTCCATCATCGCCTTCTCTCCCTCCCCTTCTTCCCCCCCTCTCTTTCTCCTTCTGTATCTCGCGTCCGCGCGTCGTCAATTTCCGTCGTTACAACGACCGAGTCGTTAACTTGCCAATGGAGTTTGACATCTCATAGTTGAGACTGCATTACGGACGTTTCCGTGCCATTTATCAACGGCACCTGGCGTATTGAAAACTGTTTTGCTGCGATGGGACGTTCGAAAAGGAAAATGTCGAAAATACGTCACCATCGATTTTATTTCAGTCACGATACATTTCAATCAAAGGGAACTTTAATCACGCAATGTACGTGCGGTTGTTTATTTTAATAACAACTAAGTAAACAGTAAAAAGACTTGAACGAAACCTTCTCTTGAGAATATAACATTTCTCAATTATATATTAACTTTGTTACATTTCTAATTTGCAAAAGTTTAATTACAAATATTTCGCTCTCTTCATGAGACTATTAAGGGTAAATTCGTCAACGATCTTTAACCTATTAATAATGCATTCAAATAGTCTAGAAATAGTCTGGTCATTTATTGAGATAATATAACGCAGGTATATTGAATGATCGTATCTGGCAGAGATCTTCCCGCAGTTTTGCGTAAATAAAGTCGCTCCGAGAGAGGAAGCTTCGAGACAAAAGCTTCCTTAAGATACGTTCAAAGTGACGGTACAGTTAGTTATCCGCGTTCTTGCACAGTTCCTATAAATTCTATCCCTTCCCTTTATTATTCGTTACTATCTCGCGATAAAGACGGCGCATTACGCAAAAGAATTTGTCCAATTGTCTAGATCGGGAACCGCTATCACGAGTCGCCTCGCTATCAAGGTTTCCCTCCGGACGCAACAGTGAGAATATTTCTTGCTCATCGCGGACGTTAAAGCTAAGTCTTTCAAACTGTCCGAGTCTTTTCCGAGGCATTTCCTTTAAAGTATCTGATCTCCACCGGATTCCATTCAAGTCATGCAAGACTCCTTCTCGCGAATTGAAATCGAATACCTGTACTATCTCTTGGCCTTTGCGACGACCCTCGTCTCACGTCCATTCTTCTTCATTCTCCCTCCCTCGACATGAAATTTATCTCTAAACAAGGTAGACGTCTTGCCGCGCGTCTAGATTTGCGATTCCTCATCCGCGAAGTAGAAACGTTTGCGCCAAATCAAAAACGTTTGCCGATGCGAACTTTTCTTCGTCTCGCTTGGCGAAGCGAAATAATATTTCTGACAAGAGAAGCGTTTTCGTGTGTATTTCGCTTTATCGTTTTACCTACGTCGGAGCATTATTGCTCCGACTTTCTGAGTAGTAACTGCGTATATAACATGCGAATGTATAAAATATATTTCGCTCAATATTCATATTTACATTACTAAACATTCAAGTGCGCCACTTTACATCTTTCCGCGTGGAATTTCCTAATGTATTCAACATTAAAACCCCCGTGCAATTAAACCTCGAATTTCAATTCTGAAGAAGCAAAATTCACTCGAGTAGTAACACGTAATCGCGCAATAGAAATTTAATTTTTAAAGTCCAATATATTTATTATAATTTTTAGAACGCTCGCTTATATCCAGAGAAGAATATCGTCTGGATAATTCGAAATAAAAATTGAATTATCGAGAATCATCGTTAGCGCGTTAAGTACCTGGGAAATATTTTGTGGATTCGGAAACGTACGATCACGTGGCGCGTAACAAGTCGCGCGGGCAACGGATAACAAGCTCGTCCATTTCTCCGGCATTCTCCTTGCTCATAATCGGCGCTCGTTAACCGCGCGAGTACGGCTCGACAGCAGCACAGCTTTACGGGGCACTGATTGCGAGAGCTCGTTTTTCCGATTGCCAGTCGTTGCCCGCAACCAATTTCTGCCTGACGCGCGCTCGTGAAATCCTGCAACACTCTGATTCGGGAAAACGACTTCCGGCTAACTCGCCGCCATTCGAAACCTCATTACCGTTCGAGGATTGAGCACCCTTTCTTCGAAGGGACGACGGGGACGGGACGGGTTCGCGCGCGATTGTGGGATAAATAAAAGCGCTTTGTCGTTTTAGGTGCTTTTCGCAGAGACACAAGACGGCCACTTCGGGACTGTTTCCTTTTGTCTCCGGATTATGCAAACGCGACGACGCCGCTTTCTTTCAATAGGTCGATACAGCGAGTTGCCTCTAGTCGTCCCTTGCAATTTCGCGGAGAGCTGCTCTTTGAAGTGGATGTAAACGTGAATGTTCTTTTTAGGATAACGCGCGCACAAAAAGCGCACTTCTCCGGAAAATGCTTCGCCTGTCGTTCTTTCATTGTAAATTTCGCTCGATTCTGTTCACCTGCACTCGGAGAAATCTTGTTGATTGACCTAGAAATACAACGAGTTATCCTTGGGAAAGATACGAGAAGATTTTCCATCGATGACAGATCTGGGGCGAATTCTTTGGGGAGAATTTAGCTGATTTTTCGAGAATACTTAACAATCCGTGAGAATTACACGCGCGTTCGTTCTCGCGAAAATTCACGTTAGCGTGGTTATTTCGCGGATATTATACGGTGCTCTGTAGAAAAGTAAAGCGCCTTTATACAAGAGGTACGGCTTTACTTCTCCCTCTTTGATCGAGCCCGAAGTAATATCGCCGCCGCGCGAAGAGAAGACGGTAGATAAAGCTGCCCTTCTTCTCGAATGAAATATGCAATCCCCTTTCGCGCCATAATGTAAAGGATGAAACTTGCAGTTTTCTTTTACCCACTAGGAGTTTTGCCACCGTCGCCCTTTATTTGATCCGTTAATGATAAAATTCTCTTTTTCGGAGCTAATATGACGGACGTTGTGCACCATAGCAAAACGGGATGCAAAACGAAACTCTCTCTCTCTCTCTCTCTCTTTTTCTCAGTTGCCCTCGAGGGTTGTATTATCTCAAAATGCGTTAGTTATTATCCGCCATCGCGCGGACTTGGATCATAAATGAAGCGCTTAACTCAAACACAAACTGTTTCAGCGCA